GGATGGATGGATGGATGGATGGATGGATGGATGGATGGATGGATGGATGGATGGATGGATGGATGCTCCGGGGGCGCGGCACGGAGCGAGCCGAGGATCGGTTTCTTTTTGAAATTTGAAAAAAAACAAAAAAAAAATTCAAATCAAAACACCTCCAGGTGGCTTATTGTTCGCGGCCGTTCGGGAAAAACTCCCGCTGCCAGCATCAACAGGAATTTGAATAAGCACAGTGAGTAATCCGGCCCTATTATAGCAACTCTTGGCTCCGGGGAGGCTCTCGGTGTCGCAGGTTCCTCCCCACGCTGCCGGGATCCCTTACAAGCCCCGGATTCCTGCCCATCGTGACCCACTGCAGAGCTGCCCTCGTTCCCCGTGCTGCGCATACCTGCACCAGCCCAGCCAGTGGGAGACTGACATCCCAAATCAAGGCACCAAGCGATGCATTTCAGACTGCACGGGGGGCTCAGCCCAGGACACGGAGCGCCCCGCTAAGGCTCTGACCTGTCCCTCACAACCTTCCACCAGTCCAGGCTGCTCAAAGCCCCATCCAGCCCAGCCTCAAACACTTGCAGGGCATCCAGACAAGCAATGAACCTGCACTTCAGTGTCTGAAATACACACTGGGCGAAGCAATTCATCAGGACAGAGGAAGCCCAGCCCCAGTGCCCCTGCCTCATGCAGGCTGTGAGCTGTGCTTGGGGAAGGGAGGCTCAGTCATGCTCCATCATTCATGGCAAGGGGAGCTGGGACCTGCCCATTTAACACTCAGTCTTTTCAGGAAGTTTTACATGAGCAAACCTCAGGTTTTTACAGCTGAGACTCTTTCAGACAGAAAAAGGAGGCATTTTTTGGATTGCATTGTAGGTGTCTCCAGGATGAAAGACAGCACTGCTGGATCCTTCTGCAGATGCCATCCTCAATGACTCACCCAAGGTTACACAGCGACCAAGTGGCAGAACTAAAAACTAGAGTCAGAAACTGTGCTCTACTTATTATCAAGTTCTATTCTTCCTCCAACATTGCAATGTGAAATGTAATTCAAGTTCCCACATAAGCTCACATGTTCAGTTTTGGCTGTTGCTGGGATTTTTCAGCAATTCTGCTTCCACGTGTACCACTTCTGCTGGCTGTTTTGTAGTAAATACAGAAAGGTAAATTTTATGGTAGCTGTTTTTTTAAGTAACTGTTTCCACCTCAATCTCTTTATCCACCAATTTCACATGGGAAAGCACATGTCCCTCATGATCCACCTCACGGAGATCCCACCAAGACAAGTCTTCTAATGTTCTGCCATAACTGTCCACAATGTCAGCTTAAACACAGCCATATAAAACACTTCAAAACCCTACAAGTCGATAAAGAATGTAAATTTACCATCTGAGAGGACTGGTAGTCCTTGGAGCAGAAATGTGTCAGATGCTCCAACACCATTTCCATCGTTCCATGCTGAGAGCTCAGCCCTGCTGGCTTAGGGAAGGTTGGGCTCCAGTAAGAACATCTTGAAAAAGATCCAGGCCTGAAAACCAGGCTAATTTTAGATCTGTAATAAAATACAGTAAGGTTTAAAAGCTATTAGAAGATCTAACTGACAGCTTTACGCTCTGTTCTTCACTTACACATTTTATGAGGTTCAGGCCACCAGTCCCTGCTGCACCCAGCTTGCCAGGTTTTGTTGTTCTGTTTTTATCCTGGAAAACTGGCTAGGGCATGGGATACCAAACAAGCCACAGAGTTAACCTGACCAAAAGGAAAGGATTCATTTCACTGCTCCTGTAACAATTATGGAATCTCATCCTTTGATGATCGTGGACTAAATAATCCACAGTTTCCTTCGGACACTCAGAGGAGTTTTAGCGATTTCTCAGTGTGCAGTCCAACCTACTGAACATGATTTCTTCTGAATACAGTCTATGATCCTGACAGATATTCTGCCAAATCAGTGGACATATTCTTCATCAAAGCTTAATGCGAATTCCTGACAACACATTTGAAGAGTGACCTAGAATTACTGCTTCTCTCATAGTTTGCCTCTAATAATCCTTTGTCATCTAAACCCTGGGGGAGTTTTGATGTTATAGATATTTTGCTTCACATATCTAAACATCCCAGCATAATGGCACTGAAATGCTGCTGCATCCAGTGGCAGTGTAGTCACATGAGATCATAAATTATATCACATTACAGGCTCTATCTGCAAAGACTGGCAACATCAATTCTGGCTGTCTGGAATTCACAAGTTTTTGGGTTGTCTGCGTTTTTTGGTTTGGGGTTGGTTTTGTTGTTGTTATTGCTTAATAAATTAGTTTTTATCTAGTTTTAAGGCTAAGGTATTTAGAAGAAACTACTTCTCTTAGACAGTCAAAGGGATCTGGGAACCTGTCTCTTATCTTTGAAAAGTCCAATCAGTTTTCCTTTCCCTGTTTTGAGTCACCCAAATTTCTGTGTCTAAGGTAGGAGTAAGTACCCTTTAAAAAGGAGGTGAATTATCTAAACAAAAAGCAAGAGCCTCATTCCTTCCCAGAAGTGTTGGGTGAGCCTCTGACTAGGAGAAATTCCCTTGCAGCTTTAAGTCTGTCTGATGAGTATCTTTGCCTGAATAACCACAACATCCCCTCCTTATCCACCCACTCCCCAAATGGGGAACTATGGAAGGAAAAATGCTAGAAACAAGCAGTTCCCTGTTAGAAAAAAACCAATACAATGAAACCACAACAAACCCTACTGATTTGGCTTCCACAGCTGATTCTGAAGCTCAGAAAGTATCACTGCTTTGGACTCAAGCTGTGACTGCTCAGCACCATGGAGTGTCAGCTCAAGTGCCAAGACTCTGGTGTTGAGAACTGGCTTAATACTCTCAAAATTTTAGTGAGCAGGCTCATGTGAACTCAAGAACTTAACACACCAGAGGAAACTATTTGAATGGCCTGTAGTTCAAGAGCTTGTAGGCAAGTCAGCACATTGCCCAAAATAAAGGCAGGGAAGAGAACAAAAGCCCAGAGCTGACTGCTCTTGAACAGATGATCTTTATGAATGAGATGAACGCTTCTGGAACAGTAAAACCACTGAAGCTGCCTCCACAGCTCACACATTATCAATTAAAACAGGGTCTCTATACACCAGTGGAAAGAAAACGTCTGTATGAATTGCATGTGGGTATTGCAAATAAAATAAAAACCCTGATGAAATATTGCAGTAAGATCAGAGAATCAGACCTTCCTTTCAACTTGTGGTTAATATTCATCCTCAACAAAGCCAAATGTTACATTAGCCTAAATGGAAAAACCATGTAGAATTATGCTATCAATTAGAAGACCTCATTAGCTGGTCTGGTGATTCAGAACTGCTGATGGAACTGAACTCAAGGCTTGAAAATACCTTGATCAAGTCTATCCTCGGCTTTTAGGCATCAAGGATGGATCTGCAATGTCCCAGAAAAATCATTTCAAGCCGAGGTGAATATCCCTAAAACGTGTGTCAGACTGTGACACAGAGTCAGAATCAGAGGGCTGGATTGTTCCCTCCAAGCCATTCTCACCCAGGCAGCCGGCACAGACTGTGGGCACGCTCAGCCCCGGCACAGCTCCACCAACCTCACTGGAGTTACCACAGGAACACACACGGGTCTGTTTCTGGCACTGCAGGCGTTCTGCACAGTCACATCCATCTTTTGCTCCTCATCAGTATCAAACATGCAAAGGGCTGATCCCACCTGTACATTCATATTACCATTCCATGAAAGAACCCATAAGGGTGTAGAGGAGTAAAGGTGTAAACCCTTTAATTTTTTGTTGTGCTCCCCCATGGGGATCAGTAGAGATTAGAAGGAGGAATGTGGATAGAAGCATTATATAATTTGGCATCCTCTCACCACAGCAATTATAATCTGTACATGTGAGTTCTTTATATAGAGCAGTGAGAAGAGGAGGAAACCTTGGTTCTGTTCCCAGTTCTTTTGACAGAAATCTTGTCTGCATTACACTAATTCTGATCTAAAATTCCACTTGTAGTCCCCTGACATGCTTCTAATTCACACTGGGTTTAATTCCACTTCATTTTATAATGGTGTAATTTTTTTTAAAATATACAAGCCAAGTTCCACCTGGACAAGAACACCTGTTCCACTCATTTTCAGAAAATACACAGGAGATGTCACCGGCCACACCAGTGATACAAGCAAATGCTCTTGCATGGTGACAGAAAATGGCACCATTTAAAATTAGCACCTTCTGAACAATGCTCACATTTAATCCCATTTCTGTGCCAGAGTGCTGCATGGTTTTGTAAAGTAAGCCTGGAGTAGCACTACACTCCATAGCTTCATACATTTCTATTGCCACAGCAAATGCAAACTCACAGCTTTGAATTCATTATGCTCCCATTGCTTTTGGATTTGTAGCCATATCAGTTTCCCACAATCTAATAAAAACTGGGCCCTGCTGTCTTGAGACACTCACTGGTAGGGGTTCTGTGATGGGCCTTGAAAAGGTCCATCCCTCTGACCTTGCATGTTAACTTCATTCCTCAGACTTAAACTCATCAGGAGCAGGACTGACAGGGATGAGGAATGCAAGAGCTTATTTGAATTAATGTTTTCTGTGGTGGTGTAGGATGTAGATGCTTACTGTTTGCCTGTGCCATGGTCACAGCAGCAGCGACCATAAAGCATACACACATGAATAATCTTTATGATCCTAACAGAG